AATGGGGATGTATATTACGGAGTACCTGCTAATTAGGTTACCAAATAACGGGATTTCCGCGTCTGACATTCCAAAAAGCGGGACTGACAATTAGGTTACCAAATAACGGGAGTCGGAATTTGGAATTCCGACTGAAGAGTAGGCTTTCGGAAAAAGTAAAAAAATCCCTAGTCGGATTACCCAATTCCGACTAGGGAAGAAGTTATTTTTTTTTTGAATTTTGTTTTTCATTTCAAATTACTTAGGGTTCGAAAAATGAAAAATTCCGACGACGGAATTTATTTTTTTTTTTGGAATTTTGTTTTTGATTTTGAGTTCCAAAAAAAAAAGTGTTAGGGCTAAATTATATCAATTCGAAATTTAATTTTTTTTTAGATTCATGACATATTTTTTAAAATGAAAACTTAGCATTATGATTTTTTTAGTAAGAAAACAATTGATTGCTTTAAATTGTTTTTTAATACATTAGTATTGTGAATTTTGTTTTAATTGCAATTTTTTTAATTTTAAATGCAATTTTGATTTACTCCATTCGTCTAATTAGATAAAAAATTCGTTTTGTTTTAAGTGAATTTTTTTTTGTAATTTTAATGGAAGAGAACAAAACAAATGTAGTTTTCAATATAATTTATTAATGAATAGACGGTACATACAATATGAAATGTAATACTACATCTAATGTTACGCGCTCGGCCCTGCTCCATCCCCACCGCCAGTGTTCCAAGGCTCCGTTGTGTCTCCATAGTAAAAAGACGAATTCAGAAATGACTCAACATAATCATCCGGTTGTGTGGACCACTGATAAGAATCATAATACGGCGGTGGTTGATCAAATGACCCACCTCGATGCGTTGAGAATTGAGGGGGTGGTTGATCAAATGAGACACCCTGTGTTGAGAATTGAGGGGGCGCTTGTGAGTCCTCACCCCCATCTTCACGTTCATCTGAATCATCCTCCTCGTCACTTCCACCTGCATCTTCATCTTCATAGTGGAATATGCCCCGGTGGAGCATATCTTCATCAGGGCATATTCCACTATGAAGATGAAGATAGCCCTGGATGTAGGTGATGAAGATATGCTCCACCGGGGCATATTCCACTATGAAGATGAAGATGCAGGTGGAAGTGACGAGGAGGATGATTTAGATGAACGTGAAGATGGGGGTGAGGACTCACAAGCGCACCCTCAATTCTCAACACAGGGTGTCTCATTTGATCAACCACCCCCTCAATTCTCAACGCATCGAGGTGGGTCATTTGATCAACCACCGCCGTATTATGATTCTTATCATTGGTCCACACAACCGGATGATTATGTTGAGTCATTTCTGAATTGTAAAGGGTTAGCATTTTAAGACTCAGAGCTTAGCAATAGATTTACATCTCCCATCCTTGTAATCTCATATTCATCTACCGTTCGGGTAGTTTCAGTGTAATTATTTAATTACAGAATATAAGTAAGTTCTTGAGTTGGATATTATCTCACTCTTTTATATTTTATACACATTTTCAACCCTACCCAATATCCCTACAATATCCAAGGCTTGTGTTGGGCTTTCGGATCTTCGGGAATAAACCTCAACACGTCTTTTTACTATGGAGACACAACGGAGCCTTGGAACACTGGCGATGGGGATGGAGCAGGGCCGAGCGCGTAACATTAGATGTAGTATTACATTTCATATTGTATGTACCGTCTATTCATTAATAAATTATATTGAAAACTACATTTGTTTTGTTCTCTTCCATCAAAATTACAAAAAAAATTCACTTAAAACAAAACGAATTTTTTATCTAATTAGACGAATGGAGTAAATCAAAATTGTATTTAAAATTAAAAAAATTGCAATTAAAACAAAATTCACAATACTAATGTATTAAAAAACAATTTAAAGCAATCAATTGTTTTCTTACTAAAAAAATCATAATGCTAAGTTTTCATTTTAAAAAATATGTCATGAATCTAAAAAAAAATTAAATTTCGAATTGATATAATTTAGCCCTAACACTTTTTTTTTTGGAACTCAAAATCAAAAACAAAATTCCAAAAAAAAAAATAAATTCCGTCGTCGGAATTTTTCATTTTTCGAACCCTAAGTAATTTGAAATGAAAAACAAAATTCAAAAAAAAAATAACTTCTTCCCTAGTCGGAATGGGCTAATCCGACTAGGGGATTTTTTCCTTTTGCCCACCTGTCCAATTCGAAATGAAAAAGAAAAAATAAAAAAAAAAAATATTTTTTCCCTAGTCGGAATTGGGTAATCCGACTAGGGATTTTTTTTACTTTTTCCGAAAGCCTACTCTCCAGTCGGAATTGGGAATTCCGACTCCCGTTATTTGGTAAACCCTAGATAAATCCCCGTGTTTTGGCAACCCCAACCCCCTTTCCCCGTGTTTTGGTAAATCACCCCCTTGTATTTGTATCTTAGCTGTAATTAAGGTTCAAAACTACCGCTTTAATACTCCGTATATAATAATCCTGCCGGTACATATGGTGCACAAGAGGTTCCTTGACATGTTTTTGGTTCAAAAATAATTTAAATATTTCAAACTTTGGAGAGATGTGAGATATATATTTCATACTTTCACATGTACTACGTAATATACTAGTATAAACTATAAAGTATACATCAATCTTTATATAAAAAGATATGTTAATATCATGATGATATGTTTTTTTTACATATCTAATTTTATGGTGTTTAAGTACATAATTTAAAATACACAAAGCATTTATGACGATGCAATTAAAATGAGAAATGTACCGGATTAATATTATTTATTTTACAAATGAAATTTTACAATGTTATAACCTACACATCCAAATAAAGCTTACTGCACTTATTGCCCTAAATTTATACTTTTAATACACACACACATAATATGGTGCGATAATAACTTTTTATATTAAGTTTGGGGTATACATATTACATATGCAATTTTGGAGTTTTATGTCACATTCCTCAAAGTTTTGGGTGTTTATATTATTGTTCCCTTCTTTTAATTACCATATTCAAGATACTAATCTTTGTACTCGTTATAAATTAAATATCTTACTTTAGCTTTTCATCTCGTTTTGGTTGTCTTACATTCCTTTTTGATATTCTAAAATGAATGATTTGTTTTCTTTATAATTGTGAAATATGTTATTTATATCATTTCACTTTATTCAACTCAATCCTCAATCACAACGTTTACTTTACAATCATTTATTGATACTTGTGTCAACCTAAAACGCAAGGCAATGGTGGCCTGAGAAGTGGTTGGGAGGGTGGCGGCAGGGGTGGTGGCATGGTGGGTCACTGGGGCAACCACGACTCACTAGGGCAGCAGTGGTGCTAGAGCTGGTCAGGGGAGTGGAAGGGTGGGGGCAAGGGCGAGTGGGGTGGAAAGGGAGGGTGGCAGAGTCAATTGGCTGGGGAGCGGCTTGCCGAAGGCGTTCTTGTGTCGATAGCTGTAACTAGAAAAATAGATCACAATACAGATGATTGGGAATGGTGGCCACTATGGCCGACGGTAGTAGTCACTAGCGGTGATGGATCATTGTTACAACAAATCAATGGGGCATCTGGTCACTCTGACCGAAATAACTAGATCAAGTTGGATGCTAGTCACTTACTGAAAGGGGAAAAAGTCATGTTATTCACATTTATGGAAAATTTTAAATCTGATCCTATTTTTGTTCACGATGATTTTCATTTAGCATTATTTGTGGCAAATCCTGACATTTGCTTTTGGCGCAAAGTTTTAAGAGACCAATTAATAGTGTTGGATAATTGCGGGAATAAACAACAAAAGGCTATCCGATGACATTAATGATTAAAGAAATAAAAATGATTAAAGAAATAACTCAACGAGAGCACCAAATGATTAAAGAAACAAAAGGCTATCCGATGACATTAATGATTAAAGAAATAACTCAACGAGAGCACCAAATGATGGACAGTCTACCCGGGGGGTATCTTATCCGAGGGGTTATTGCGGGAATAACTACAGAGAAGTCAAAGCAAAATAGGAGGAGAGAGAGTCGATTTTATTAAATGAACTCAGCGTGTTGGGATGTGGATCTGGGATCGTTTACAAGGAGAAATGGGCTGCTATTTATAGCAGCAATAAATGCGATGAGAGTACACGTGTCAGTAATCCAACGGCCGAGGGGTCACATCAATCGGGGTGGCACCGACAGTGGCATGTTCACCGCATTGAATGCGGTGGGTGAATGTGACGTCGTATTAAATGCGGTGGTTGCTTGTCTCCAAAGGGAATCTTCGATGATTGAGCTGTTAGCCGAAGGCTCCTCGTGGGGTCGAGGGCTTCGTGTGACCGAGGGCTTCGTGTAGCCGAAGGCCCTGTGTAGCCGAAGGCTTCCCTGATGCCGAGGGCTCATACTGCCGAAGGCTCCTGTTTCTGCCGTTTTTTCCAGTAGCTTCGTATGCTCGAAACTGGCTGCCCTGTGTAATTTGGAGCCTTCGGCCAAGGGGGCCGAAGGCACCCCAGTGTGTATTCTGGGCTCCTTTGAGACTTGGGCCGCTGCATTTGGGCCTGAGATGCTCCCTGGACTCAATGGGCTTGTGTAGGAGAAGTAGGAGTCTATGGGCCGGGGGTTCCTGGGCCATATACTCCATCAAATAGAATAACAAATCCCTTTTATACCCTTTGGCCCTCCTTTGGCCTTTGTTAATCTGCCGAAATGGCAGTTACCAGTGACCGAATAGGTGAACATTATCTAATAGTGGCCGGGAGTTGATGTTTTTACTGCCTGTAGCTGTTTAGTACAAATGCACTATATTTTTGAGTATAGAGGCAGTATATTTTAAGTGCAAATGCAACTTCCTTGTTGGTGTTATAGTCTCAAAAAGACCATTTTTCATCATTGACAATTTAGCAGACCACCAACACAGATTATAATCAATTATCACAACATATTAGGTCTCAAAGCAAACATAGTGAAACTCAAAATAGATCAAATCACAACACACAAAGTTTTAGTCAAGGTTACATAGGCGTTCGGTAGAGGGTATCACCCTGAACATAAACAAAATTGATTAAAAGGATGTCTCATAGGCGTTACAAATGAGTTTCCAACAATGGCCTGTTCGAGATCTTTGAGATCCATATCTGAATTGGGATCAACTATAGCTGTTTAACAAAATTAAAAGAAAACATTAAAACCCTAATCACATGAATTCATAGATCAACGCACATAGGTAGATCGATTAAACACTTACACTTTTCTTGATTAGGCGAACGAAGTCCAAGAGTCGATAATTAGGGATAACTGAAGAGACCAATTGAATAAATTTGTAAGAGAAGATGAACATATAGAGAGAAGATTATTATTGGAGACTCAACTGTTCGTATGAGTTTTGGAGATTAGTCCGGAGTATACGAGAGTGGCGGTTGGGTAGTGGGTGTGTAATTAATTTTATCTAATTAAATGTAAATGTGAGTGGGTGGTGTGAAGGGTAGTTATGGCAAATCATGTAAAATAAGTTGCCAAAAAAGGAAACATAAAGGAGTAAATGGAACGTCCCAAAAAGGAAAGTGTAAGGATTTAAATGAAACTGAGGGAGTACTACAATTGTTCACTTTTAATAATATGTCCCTTATTTGCATGATTTGAGTTTTATTAAAATTCTAACAAAGCATCTCATATTCTTGGCCTACTCCTCTATGATTTTAATCAAAATCTTTTAATTTTTACTACGTACTACTCCCTCTGTCCCAACTCCTAATATTATCTTCATTCTTTTCTTTTTTATCCGTCCCAATATATACTTCGCATTCCCCTTTTAGCAAAGAATGTGTGGTACAGCTCACAACATTCTTTCATTTTCTCTCTCCTCTGCAAAATTTTAGACCACACATTTCTTACTTTTCTTAAAGAGTTAATATTGGGAGAGAGGAAGTATCCTGTTTTTCATTCCATCCTTTAAAATTTGACCAATGTCATGGATATAGATGCCGCAGTACAAATTGGCATGCGGATAGGGTTTAAAGAAGCAGGTATATTTATAGATAGTACAAGAGCTATAGTGTGTCCAGATGCCTGAGATGATACTGTATCAAGTACAAGCACACAGCACATCTTTGTTGACTAAAAAATTTATCTGTGGCACAAATATAATGGCATCCTTATAAAGAAGCTAAGAGATCAGACTGCACGTGAAGCAAAGCTAAGCTTAGCTAAGGTTCCATATTCTATCTATCACTAGCGGTGTTGTACTGTAGTATATATAGTGCTCCGTTTAATCATCACACTTGCGTATACGGAGTACTCCGTATATGTAAAGACGGCCGGCCATCAATACTTTGTCGCCATCCACCCTTTCTGGGAAGTTTTTTTTTTCTTTTTTTTTTTCTTTCCAAAAGATAAATATAACATGAAGGCTAGGAGAATATATTTCTGCTGAATCTGTTCTTCAGCAAAAAGCTGAGACATTTTTGACGGTTTGTGCATGCTATATTAGAATTATAGATCTTGATTTAGAGGTTAACTTTCGTAATTAAAAGGCTATTGTGTACTAAAACATAAACATAAAAGTACGGTAATACGAAAAAGGGGTAAAATCACGGCGAAAGGGATTATAAATTTGTTTGGTAAGTTACTAGCTACTACCTAATACCCACTCCCCTAAATTAAAGTCTCACTTATTTAATTGACTTATTTGATAAACAAATACATATCAAACAGTGTCAAATCGTTCAAAACAGAGTCAAAATGATAAACGGCAAAGACATATGCACTGAAAAGTTTGTATGGAGTATATCTTATTCTATCGATCTCAAAAGGTACAAATGAAATATATAGGACTAATTAAGTTGACTAGTCTAAATGGAAAGATATTAAATCTATTCCTAAAATAATATACAGAGTATTACTTATCAAAGATAGAATGCTTTCCTTTCCCATAATACCCCCTCAAGTTGGAGCGTCGTGATCCAGAATGCCCAACTTGTGCAAAAGGAAGTGGAACTGAGTCTTCCAAGTGCTTTAGTAAAAATGTCGGCAAGTTGAACCGTCGTAGGAACATAACTAGGGGCAATGAGCTCGGATTTGACAGCATCTCGAGTAAAATGACAATCCACCTCAATATGTTTACTACGTTCATGAAACACTGGATTCCTAGCAATATGCAAGGCAGACTGACTGTCACAGAACAACGGAATAGCTTTGTCACGATTAATTCCAAGACTGAGGAGCAAAGTCTTGAGACATTTAAGTTCACAGGTGGCAGGAGCCATAGCCCGATATTCTGCTTCAGCGGAAGAGTGAGAAACAGTAGATTGCTTTTTGGTCTTCCAGGAAATTGGAGAATGTCCAAGAAAAACTAGCCACCCAGATAAAGAGCGACGAGTAAGTGGGCATGCATCCCAATCAGAGTTACACCAACCAGTAAGAGAGAGTTCACTATCGGCCCGAAGAAGAATACCTTGTCCAGGAGAACCCTTCAGATAGCGAACCACTCGTAGCGCAGCATCCCAGTGGGCCTGACAGGGAGCCTGCATAAACTGAGACAAAATATGAACAGAATATGTCAAATCAGGACGAGTGACAGCAAGCTAAATAAGACGCCCAAGCAGACACCGATAAGGCTCCGAATCAGTCAGAGGAGGCCCGTGGAATTTAGCTAGAGAATGACTTTTGCTCAATAGGGGAATCAACAGGCTTAGCACCAAGAAGACCTGTCTCAGAAAGAATATCCATAGTATATTTACGCCGTGTAGGAAAGAGACCCGAGGGACTGCGAGCAACTTCGATCCCTAAAAAATATCGAAGGGAGCCTAGATCTTTCATGTGAAAACAATTACCGAGATAAGTCTTAAATTGAACGATAGCCTCATGGTCATTGCCAGAGATAACCAGATCATCAACATAAACTATGACATTAAGCTGAGAAAATCCCCTAGTGCGTGTGAATAGAGAATAATCAACATATGACTGAAGAAATCATAGCCTTTAAGAGCACCAACGAGATTCGGAAACGAACAACGGGGTGCTTGCTTTAATCCATAAAGAGACTTATGTAGACGACACGGGAGAGGGATTAGAAGCAGCATATCCTGACGGAACCTGCATGTAAACCTCTTCAGCCAAATCACCATGTAAGAATGCATTATGGACATCCATTTGATAGAGTTCCCAATTTTTAGATGCCGCAACAGCCAAGAAAGCACGAACTATGACCATTTTGGCCACAGGAGCGAAAGTTTCATTGTAATCAAGCCCCTCAATTTGGCAGTCGCCAAAGATAACCAAACGAGCTTTAAGGCATTCAATGCTGCCGTCAGAGTTGTATTTTATTTTATAAACCCAACGGCAGCCCAACGCCCTTTTTCCAGGTGGAAGAGGCTGCATTGTCCATGTGCAGTTTTCTTCAAGAGCACGGATTTCAGTGCGCATAGCATCACGCCAACCCGCATCACGAACAACTTCCTCGAAAGAGGCTGGTTCTTTATTAACAGATAGTGCCGTCAAGAATACACAATAACAGTCAGAAATTTTATCACAATTAATATAATGAGCTATGGGAAACGGGGTACCTGAGTCAGCTGATGAAGAGGATGGAGCGGGGAATGGGCGATTATGCATGATGGTATGCGTCTCAAAATCTCGTAATCGGACAGACGGAAGTTTAATACGTTTCTCACGACCCAAATCAGGCGATGAAGTACCAGAATCGGAGGGCCCCACATAAGGTTCAGTAGTTGCAGGAGGTTCAGTAGTAGGTGGGGAATTAGAAACCCGGGAAGATGGTGCAGCAGACGGATACTCCCAAATATCCAAAGGAGGTAATGGGGTTGATTCCTCCTGGACTAGGATTGGAGTTGTATTAAAAGGAAAAGTATCCTCAATAAATTTGATGCCACGAGAGACAAAAAATTCATCGGTCTCGAGGTCATATACCCGCCAATCCTTTTTACCAAAAAGGTATCCAACAAAAACACATTTGCGGGTCCGGCTAAAAAATTTATCTCTGGCAGAGCGAATATTATGAGCAAAACAGAGACATCCAAATACCCGAAGGATCTCATAATCAATAGTTTTGCCAAAGAGGATCTCAAAAAGGGTTTTATGGTTCAGGACAGTAGAGGGGGCCCTATTGATGAGGTGAGCAGCAGACAAAACACACTCCCCCCAAAATTTAACTGGAAGATTAGCCTGAAACCTGAGGGCATGAGCAACATTTAGAATGTGTGTGTTTACGTTCGACTCGTCCATTTTGCTTTGGAGTGGCAACACACGAAGTGTGAAAAATAATGCCAGAAGTCCGGAAAAAAATCTTTGAGGCAGCTAAATTCAGTCCCATTGTCACTACGAACTATTTTATAGTCTACGAAAACTGACGCTCTACCATGGCACATAAATTCATAAACATAGGAAAAACTTCAGTTTTATCTACCAAAAGATACACCCAAACAGCACGTGAAAAATCATCAACAATAGTCAGAAAAATTTTAGCACCACAAGAGGAGGGAGTATGATACGATCCCCATAAATCACAATGTATAAGCTCAAAAATACAATTACTCTTGCTGATATGCACTAATTAGTAGTGCATAAATGTATCTTTTTATGTTTGATTTGTGTGGATTGTTTATCGTTTTATTTAGTTTGTAAACATTTGTGTGATTTTAGTTGTAATTGTATTTTAATCTTCATTTGTAAGTTGTAAAGTAGAATTAAGAATTATGATGTTGAAAAGGAGGACTTTGAAGTGAAGAAAAAGGAGATTGGACTGTCCAGGAGCTAAAACCCGACCGGGCATAACACTTGACCCGGTCGGGTAAGATTTAACAGACGAAGGTGGCTGGAAATTACACAGACCCGGTCGGGTCCCCTATGCCACTCGGTCGGGTTTGACTTGACCCGGGACATTTTAACGTGCTAAAACACAAGAACGTGGAAGATTATCTGATTTGGATGATATGCACTAGTTTATAGTGCATAAGTGTATGTTTTTATATCGATCTTGTGTAGACTTTCCATCACTTTTAGTTAGTTTGTAAGTATTTGTTTTATTTTAGTTGTAATTGTTTTTACCTTCTATTTCTAGCTATAGAATAGTGATAGAGTTTTTAGCAAGAAAAAAGGGAAGAAAAGCTGAAGACAAAAAATCTCAGGAACACAGACCCGGTCGGGTCCCTTACTCGACCCGGTCGGGTCAGATTTGACCCGGAGCACCAGAACATGCTGCAGATTTGGAAAAGATCTGATTTTGGTCAAACCCGGTCGGGTTCCTTACTTGACCCGGTCGGGTCTGACTTGACCCGGACAAGTTAACGTGCTGAAAACAAGAAATCGTGGGAGATAATCTGATTTTGACCGGTACCCGGTCGGGTATGTACCTATACCCGGTCGGGTACTCGGCCAAAGGTGTTGAAAAACACCTATAAATAGCACACTTTTTCTTCACAAAAAAATAATCCCTTCTTCCATATACTTAAGCTCAGTTTAGAATAGTTATTTCTTATATTTTTATAGCATGTTTAGTCTCCAAATGAGGAGCTAAACTTCCATTTCTTGGTGTTGCTCTTGAAGCTTGTTGATTATCAAAGTTGTGAGTTATTTTCTTAACTTCTTTCCTTGAATATTAATGCTTCTCTTAAATACTATTTCTATATCAATGTTGGGGAGTGTTGCTAAGATGACAATTAGTTAACATCTTGACATTGGTCTTAGTAATAGCTATTCCTTCCTCTATGTTAATATTGGGGGAGTGTTACTAAGATGACAATTAGTTAACATCTTGATATTAACTATAGTAGGATTCATTTTCCTTAATATTCTTCCTTGAGTATTAATTAATTCCTATTCATATTTCATATTAATATTTTTGAACATTACTTAAAGGATCAACTAGTTTTGTTTCAAATATTAATTATTACTAGAAACGATCAACGAACCGATGGTTAATCGTTGATGGTTTCACAAGTAAGTAACTTCGGTTTATTAATGCACGGTCGTGGTTAGTACTCTTAAGAGGGATTAATTTTGTTGGTTAAACCGAAACCGTTGTGTTGAGGTTATCAATCTCAATTGATTTCATCAAGGAGTTAAGAGATTAAATGCTACTATCAAGTAGGTATATGGCGTTGTTCTATACTTGACTAATAGTAAGGGTTATTAATGAACGGTCGTTGTTAATAACTTTCCTCGATGAATTGGATATACTCCTCGATTGAGTATTCGAGAGGAGATAAGTTATAGATATAACAATGATCGACTGAAATATATCAACAAGTGGAAAGTAGCAATGCCAAGTCCTTTTTATCTTTGAATTAAATCACATATAACTCGTTCATCTTCGTGTTTAATTTAATTAAATCATTCAACCCAAAACCCCCCTTTATTTACTCCTTTCGTTAAAAAGATAAATTATTCCTTTCCCTGTGGATACGAACTCTACTTCACCTATACTACGTATAAGTGTTAGTATTGAATTTATTTTGAGTGCACTCACGACAAAGTGCACGTCATTGGACATGCACCCGGTCGGGTGGGCATTTGACCCGGTCGGGTACCCGGCCCAAGGTGCTGAAAAACACCTATAAATAGCACACTTTAACTTCACAACTAACCATCCCTTCTTCCATACTCTTAAGCTCAGTTTAGAATAGTATTTCTTTTATATTTTTATAGCATGTTTAGTCTCCAAATGAGGAGCTAAACTTCCATTTCTTGGCGTTGCTCTTGAAGCTTGTTGATTATTAAAGTTGTGAGTTATTTTCTTAACTTCTTTCCTTGAATATTAATTCTTCCTTTAAATACTATTTCTATATCAATGTTGGGGAGTGTTACTAAGATGACAATTAGTTAACATCTTGACATTAGTTATGGTAATAGTTATTTCTTCCTCTATGTTAATATTGGGGAGTGTTACTAAGATGACAATTAGTTAACATCTTGATATTACCTATAGTAGGATTCATCTTCTTTAATATTCTTCCTTGAATATTAATTAATTCCTATTCATATTTCATATTAATATTTTGAACATTACTTAAAGGATCAACTAGTTTTGTTTCATATATTAATTATTACTAGAAACGATCAACGAACCGATGGTTAATCGTTGATGGTTTCACAAGTAAGTAACTTCGGTTTATTAATGCACGGTCGTGGTTAATAAACTTAAGAGGGATTAATTTTGTTGGTTAAACCGAAACCATTGTGTTGAGGTTATCAATCTCAATTGATTTCATCAAGGACTTAAGAGATTAAATGCTACTATCAAGTCGGTATATGTCGGTGTTCTATACTTGACTAATAGTAAGGGTTATTAATGAACGGTCGTTGTTAATAACTACCCTCGATGAATTGGATATACTCCTCGATTGAGTATTCGAGAGGGGATAAGTTATAGATATAACAATGACCGACTAAAATATATCAACAAGTGGAAAGTAGCAATGCCAAGTCCTTTTTATCTTTGAATTAAATCACATATAAGTCGTTCATCTTCGTGTTTAATTTTAATTAAATCACTCAATCAACCCCCCCCCCCCCTATTTACTAGTTCATAAAAAGAGAGTTATTCCTTTCCCTGTGGATACGAACTCTACTTCACCTATACTACGTATAAGTGCTAGTATTGAATATTATTTTGACGCACCGTGACAAAGTGCCCGTCACTTGCTCACACTAAGAGGAAAAACATCTCTAGTATGTTTAGCCCTAAAACAAATTTCACAGGGCGAAGAAACAACAGGGGGATATCCACTCACAGGTTGGAGCCATTTGATAACTGTATCTGAAGGGTGCCCCAACCGCTGATGCCAAATGCTCCCTGAATCTAATCCTTTTTGAACGCCAAAATAGAAGCAGTAGCGATGTCCTCAAAATAATAAAGCCCATTCCTCCGCTCACCCGCTCCAATCAGCCTCATCGAGTGCCGGTCATGTATAACACAAATATTAGCAGTGAATTGAACGAAACAATCAAGGTCCTCAGCTAGTTGAGATACAGAAATAAGACTACAATTTAATTTTGGGAACAAATAACACATGTGACACATGTATTTTGTCAAATAACTGAACCAATCCCATTTTAGTAGCTTGTACTTTCTGACCGTCCGGTAGACCAACCATACAACTGGCAATTTCATTGACATTATTTAGACAAGAAAAATTCCCGGTCACGTGATTTGAAGCCCTTGTATCAATGACCCAGGAATAAACACTAAACTTACCAGATACTCGTTCAATTTTAGAGTACGGTTTACCAAAAGCTGCTAGAAGAGCTTGCCAGTGTTCAGAACTAAACCCTAGAAGCATATTTCCGTCTCCCGTACTACCAGTGCCTTCCACAACCTGTGTTCGAGAGCCAAAAGCATCCATGGTTGTCGCAAGAGCTCACAAGTTGTTCAATTTTACCGGCGTTATGTAAATGCCTGGCCGGTCTTGCGGTCCCAGGTAGAAAGGCAACATATGGTGGATTTTTGCAGGTGCGTCTTTGCTGTCCCCTATTGTCATCGTTGATGACAAGCCAAATCCGTCCCTCACGTGTGGATCCTTCGTTGCTCAGAAAGTGCGTCTGATACCATGATAAACGGCAAAGACGTATGCGCTGGAAAGTTTGTATATCTTATTCTATCGATCTCAAAAGGTACAAATGAAATAT